TTAGTCAGAAAACGTGGTTCAATAAAAAGCAAGCTTACAAGCTTCACTAAATATTTAGGTTCACTAGGTGATAGTCCAGATCTTCTTTAGGTTCTTCAGTTAGGTACTAGAACGACATGAATGCCAGACGATTTCAAATTATTTGAACTAATACAAGACTAATTAAAATTGTTGATTTCGGATAACGATTTTGAGTTACAATTATCTCATAGAAACAGTTTTGAAGACGAGTATTTTAAAGTTCGTCTATGGCACAGAAAGTCATTAGTACCAATCAGCAAGGAAAATTAATTGATAATCACATAAACTACTGATAATACCTCACCTAGCACACCATCCATATCTGAATCTTTACAACCTACTAATGATATTCATATTAAATTACCCACTATGGAACTATCTAAATTCTTTTAAATCAGCTTTTCACGACAACCCCAATTTTCTCTATACCTACGGTCCTGCTTAACAGGAAAGGGTGCTGACAAAAATTGAATCTCTTTAAGCTTCAGCCGCCATTTATTTAATAGTTTGGTTGATCCTAGAAAAAATATTATGATGATCCAAAGGCGGACATAAACAATAGAGTCAAAGCATTCAGGGGATATGATCTTTACTTGTCAAGTACCGGTCATCAAAAAATAACTAAATGCTATGTAGCCGAACACTCAAACAAATCCTTAATGAATGTGACTACAATGGAAAAAGAAGTTTCAGGATTTCGGACATCTGAATACCTCCATTGATGAATCCCTACAAAGTTACCGATGCAGATTTTGAAACTAGCTACCATGTAGAACCACTTAACAGTAGAAGCAACGCCTGAATTTGAAACATCATCTAGTCAAGATGGTGCAGCCACTCGACTACATAATCACCCAGAATTTTATGTGGAGTTTAGTACGTCGTTTTTGGTCTTTGTTTATCTTCCTATTTCATCGCTTTGTAGCTTAACTGTTCTTTTCAGAGCTCCTCCATCGTTATTTAATTTTTTTGATAAGTTACTGTGATGTGTTAATCCTATGAAAATGATAGCATAACGTTTAACAATTAAATCCGCAATCTCAGAACTTGGTTTTGAAGCTGTTTCATTATTTAGATAAGGAGAAAAAAAACGGCGGTCAGTTGCTCTTTGTAAACTGTGTTCATGAAAGATTTTTAGAAGCACTTGCCATTAGTTTGAGCACGATAACTAGGATTAAACAGAAAAGTGAAGGTGGAATACCTGCAAAAAAAACTAGACAGTGTAGGAAGTCTAAAACGTCTGGTTATTTCAACGTTATAATTTACGTTTCGATCCATGTGGATGGTTTATATTACTTTATTGGAATAAATTTGAATTTTTACTAAACTAGATTTCATTAACTTTGGCATATCAAAAATATACCGTCGACAATTGACAGCTACCTCAAATGTTAAAAATCGGAACCTTATCTTTTGTTTCTCTATGTCAAGAAAATCATGGTGGACGAAGGCAAAAAGGATTTAACGGAATCTGATTTTTTATAGAAGTTATGATTTCCTATAATTAGGGTTGTGGTAGGGATTTTTTTTATAAATTAAATTAGCACCGACACTATTCATTGTAGGAATAGAAGCTGATTATCAAAGTTACCTTAAAATTTTGTGTTTCATTTTCAATAATTGTTATTTTTTAATTTGATTCGACTGATTGAACTAAGTAGTGATATTTACGATATTTACAAAGTTCTGCCCATCGCATACCTGCAACGATTTTCTTTATCTTAATACCAGCTATGCAAATTTAGCACCTCATCGAAAGATTTGTGACATGATAATGCCCTTAATCGATAGGCCTCCGTTAGGTCAGATAAGGGCAAATATTTTTTTCGTTAAATCTATTGCTTTTTCTTTTTAATTTTTTTATAAAAATTTAAAAGCAATTTTAGCACCTCATACATGATCAAATAGTCGTTTTTTAACAATTTTTATTGCTTTTTTTT